AAACGATGCTTTGGCTTCTTCATATGCATCGCTTGCCACAGGCCGCGTTTCCCAGCAAAACATTCCCTCTCCAGACACGCTATGCCTCATTCCCATTATTTTTAACCCCATACATCCTAACTAAGCAGGTCCTTTGATTCGAAACTGGCATAGCTTAGTTTCCAAGCTTATCAATGTTCGCTGTGATGCATCTGCATTTTGATTACATTTAAAGGACTAGTTCATCTAGGTCAGCTCCTTACACTCCTTCTATTCTTTGTCCTGTCGCTAATCTTTCCTCATCCTGTTGTCCCGACTTGTCCCATTTGGTATCCATAATCTCCTCGTTCACAGCACTACATTGATTTGGAACTTGATGTCTTCCCTGGAATCGGAGCAGTCAAACGACCCTTGGGCTGTGAATCGCGCGCACTCCAACTTTTAGTGCAAGCAGCCAATGGTGGTACTTACACAGCACCCGAACCCCACGCTACACTCCGGCCATCCATCCTGGTTCGAACCAGTCATGCCTACGGGAAACGGATGGAGATGATTTGGCGGACACTTGTCTCTCTGCCAGAAGATTCGCGCTTGGATCCCGTTGTTCATGGACCTCTGTTAAGTGGACTGACATCGTTCGCCCCGGTTGTGGCCTATCTCAGCCTAATGTTTGACCTGTTGACGACGGACGAGGAAGTTAGTGCCAACAGTAACTGTCATTCGTAAAAGAAGACTGCCTTTTCGCGTGAAAGCAACAGTTGGTTCCAGCTGTTGCTTTTTCTGTGATAATTACTTTTTTGTGCATGGTGTAGTTTCATCAGACATTTCCTACACCTTTGGTACCTTAGGATACGTTTTGGCGAACAGTGGCTTTTCGTAAATTCTCTATTTCGGATGCTCCGGTAAATACACTTAATTAATTGGTAAGTTCTTGAACAAAACCACTCAAAACGCCTCGTTTCGTTTGGTTAAAATATCGCTACTGGAGATGATTCAGCATTGTAGTGTAGTGTCACTCGTCGTTTCATTTAACCAACCACAAACGGCACTTTCCATGTCATGTTTCAGGTAAATGGATAGCATTCGCTCAGCTCTAGCACCTTCTCTGTGCCTAACCACCATATCACCAGAAGGACTGAGATACTGCCAAGTTTCCCAAGCCTGGCTAAGAGCAGTTAAGATGCTGAGGTTAGGTTCGAACTACGAAGCTCCGGGTCATTACGTTCGCATAGAGCTGCCCCGAGCTCCCATGTATTGTGTGTTAGAGATTAAACCGTCAAAAGTCTCATTTCCGTTTCGCAACATGACACGTCTTCCACGAGGAGTAGGTACAAACTTTTGAACTTGAGAAGTTGTTTTGATGGATATCAATCTGGGATATCAGTGTCGAAGATCAGAAACGTGAACTAGAAAACGGTCGCAATAACCTTTGGCCATTTATGGTTGGCTCTGACTCCGGCCATCCTGGTGTTGATGCGCGTCGCTCCCATTATGGCATTATGAGAGTTCATCGCTCACAACTTCATATCCCAATGTGAATTGACCAAGTCATGGTTGTGATATGTTGGTGAACCAACACTGTTCAGTATATATTAACTTTATATTTTAAATGTTGTTGACTGCATTGACGAACCTGAAGGGTTGACGGAAGCATACTGTCTAATAACTTGTCTTCTATTGTAATGTTGGAAATTTCTTGCCTGTTCCACGTTGGCACGGTGTAAAATGGAATGTTTGGAATTTAGTGTGTCCTGGTTCTTCCAGAAACTGACAAACTAACTAAAGTAGTCCCAACACTTTCACTTTTCGCTAATAAAGTAAGCTTCCGGCGCTAGAGTCTGGTTCACAGACCACTGGTTCTGTGTCAAGGACATTCGCGTTCTCTACACCCTTTGACGACCAATGAAGTACTTGGGATCACCACGTAGGAAGAGAATATACCTCCCTCCTTGAAGAGCCTGAGTCAGTCGCGATCGAAGAGGACTGTTTTGCTAGACCTCATAAAATAGAATGTTCCCACCTCTTCGGTCTTTTTAGAAGGAATTATTATCTGGAGCATGGTAGCGAACGAATGTTCTGGGTAATTTTTCGTCCAGACAATACAGTTACAAACAGATAAAAGCTTCAAATTTTGCTTCCGAGGCACATAACAACAGGCATGATCAATAACAATGAGTTTAAACAACAACAACAACAGGGTCAGCTTTGAATCTTGATATCCTCTGATTTTGTAACTACCTTGACAGAGGTCTTCATTAACATGCATTCTGTGCTGCTTTGAAAGTCTTTCGTGCACCGAGTGCGCGCAGAAAATGCTTGCTGGATCAGATAGAAGGGTCACCTCCGGTTGAAAGGTTTGAAAACTAGGCGGACCGTTGGACACCTCATTGCCACCTGCCGTCGCCAGTCTCTCTCACTAACCGAACCTCACGTCGATTGGACGGATTTGTATCACTTAACGATGGCATGCTTTGATTTCTCAGAATGTCAGCTATTCTGGATCGAGCATCTATAGCTTGACGCTTGTCGCCCTTCACGGGACTTCTAAAGGGACCTTATTGAACGTTCCATGTTGATTCTATAAATACAGTTGTAATAAATAATCTTCCTTTGTCCCCGTAAAGGACTGTCTCAAGCTACCGTGTCACATACCATAGTGAGCGGAGCAGGAAGCCAATGGTCGACATAGGGGTTGCACAACCGTCAGCAAGGCTCAACACATCATCACCGCCATCATCATCATCATCATCATCACCAGGACAAACTTTGTCTGATTATCCATAAAAGAAACTATCCACAAGGTTACTGAAAAACAGTCCACGACCGGTTTCGCCCTTCTTTGGGACTCATCAAGTTGGTGTGACCCCCGAGTTTCCGTCACCCTGATGTTCTACTTGAACCCTAATTGGACAGATTTCAACAAGTGTACTCATTTGCACATCGATTTGGTTTTCACGGAAGACTCAACTGAATCTATCTTTTATAACATTCTTTAACTGAATGTACTGCACAAAGGCCGCTTCATATTTCCGTTGGTACGATATTGTAACCTACAACCTACAACTTACAACCTTGTAAGTAGTTTCTACTATTAAAAAATACATTGTGATATCTCGAATATCGTACCAACTGAAACATGAGGCAGCACATTCAGTTGAAGGGTATCGTAAACGAAGGATTCAGTTGACTCTCCCGTGGAAACCAACTTTATATACAAATGAGTATATTTGCTTATTAACTTACATTTAAACCCTTAGCAACCGAAAGAAAAGACTGGGCGACGGAGGGACTTGATACTAGTTTAGCGCAGTGATTCACAGCCGTCTACACCTCCGATCGGGTATGAAACTGACAGATCGAACACCACTGACGCCGATTTCTTGCGTTGCCTCCTGCTAAATGCACAAGATGGCGTTGGGACCTTATCCTGGAATGCGGGTCGAAATTAAAACAACCCAACTCTTTGTAATCCCTTACACCGGTCGATTAGGCCATACGTTGTCCACCTCACGGCTTGCATCATTCTGAAGAAGAACAGAGAACAACAATCTTCTCGGTAGACTATGTTTCGGTATGTGTAACACGACGGAGTCACCGCAGTTGATCGTGCCGGATGTTTTCCGCGACTGAGTTACTTGCTGCACAACCTAATACCCGTTTTCTAATTACCCCGCTACGAATTCGTTGACACCATCTGACACCAGCAACACTTATGGGATATCGGTTGCCAGAAACCTAAATGTTTCACACCATCTGTCCGCAGATGCCACGCCTCGCAACCTTACAACACTTTATCCCTTACTGTGGTCCTTGATGCTCAGTGATATGCCTTTTTAACACCACAACAGACTCGAACTGGCAAACGTGATTCGAACCTTTGAAGTTCCTGCGCCGACTTCATCAGACACGTTTCCGTCAGAATTAATACAGCCACCACAGCCTTCAGTGCTTCTATTTGAATTACAATGTATGTTTTCAGAGACTGCGCATCCTGAAGCATGACTTTGTACCGTGTAGGTTTAAGATGGATGAAAAAAGATGTTATGACGCCAGTCTGGCTTTAGTACAGTGGAGTGTGGTATTAGTCACTATCATAGTTCATAGGTGCTCTTATGTAACTTGACTCCAATTTCACAGCTGTATTGAAATCCAGTACATATTTTTAGAACCGAAGCCTATCTGGTAAAGACTGCGGGCTTGGAAACCATCACCATCGCTGGGTCTATCCAGCCTCATCCGTGTGACAGTATTTTTGTTGTCTTGAGTGCATTTCATCTCATGAGCTGTCGGCACAGCTAGGCTTTTCCACTACTTTTCACTAAACATCCAGATCATCTGAAGTTTCTCCTTTATCTTTTTGGCAGAGCCTATCGAACTCCCTTCCGAGTCTGATCAGCGTACTACAACGTATCGACCGCCTGCGTTCTGCTCTGTCTGTCAGTGCACGAGATCGGGAGTCCAGGTGGTCTGATAGCGAGTCTGCGCCCTCTGTGCGTTATCGCGTGTGCATGCGTCGCCTTTTGTCACTCATTATTGGTGGCCTGGCAGCGTTCGGTTCACTTCGTCAGCGCAACCATCGCTCATTGATGGATAGACTATTCAAGATTTGGGAGTTGAGTGAGACTACGCGGTCTGCGACAGAACTGCCCTGTGACTTACTGTTCCCTAGTCAACTTACATATTTACTGCCCCCACGAGCCGCCTTGGAAAAGAGGTTTGTTTTCTCAGATTTACTGCTAACTGCTGTGGAACGATTTCTGTTCTACACAGTATCTAGTTGTACACTTTGCTTAATTTCGATCCATCGCTTTGTTTAGTATGTCGCACGACTGTTTTACACTCAGTTGGGCCCACCATCTCCACAAGTAATAAGATTTAGCAGACTGTCACCACCTTCACGGTGAATTCATGTTGATATTAGAATGCCTGCAAAAAGATTAGTTGGATCCGGTGTGGATTTTTTTCTCAAAATTTTCTTTCCCTTGCTTCTGTTTGGGACTTGAGGGTGGGGGTTCAGATTGATCGGTTAGTACATATTGAATGGGTGCTTGAGATAGCGCAGTGGTTAGAGCGCCAGCTTACGGACCGGAAGGTCCGTAGTTCGAACCCAACGTCAGCCTCTCGACTGCTCTTGTCTAGGCTTGGACAAACCAGCATTATCCCAATTCTCGTGCCTCCTTCCATTGGCATGGCAGATAGGCGCGGATAGGGTGCTACCGCTGAAGGATTTGATTTTTTTATATCTTAATGACTGAATGAGCCATGATGGTATAGGAACAGAATGAGTCGGTGCACGCACCATCAAAGCACGACTACTGATACCATCTAGCATCATTTACGGCGTAAAAACTGAACCTAGTGTATTGTGCGTACTATGCAACTGCAGGTTCGGCATCACTTTCCAGTTGCAAAACTTGCCCCCCCTTCCAGTCTGAAGACTTAGAACACAACTGGCGTGCTGCTGCCGAGAACGACCAGTGCCATCAAGTTAGTACTTCTCATTATTGTCTATGGGAAGCCAGCTCTGAAAAAAAAGCCCATGTTCTCGCTAAGTCAATCAATTGTACCTCAGTTGACGATAATGTGCACTGCACTTGTGACAGCTATTTATTCACCGTATTTATCGAGGCAGATATTAGGCTTAGAGAAGAGATCGGGATTATTAGATGGCACGATTTAAAAAAGATATTGGGAGCATGGATTCACTTTGATTATTGGTTTTACAGTAGCTGCACGACAGTCCTATTTCAGAAGTACGCTTTATTCTTCGTGACGTTCACAGAAAAACTTTATACTTGCAACCGCAACACAGGTATCCTTTGTGTTTGGGATCTAGGTCAAATGTATGCTGCTTCCCAATACATGTAAGTCTTGAATCACAGATTCACACTTAGATATTTTCGAACTCTGAACACCAAGTAGCTTTGAAAGGTGCCTGAAATCCATTAGGACCAATGCAGCTGCAGCATTCTACACATAAACGCGGCCCAATAGCATGCACAATAGTTCGTGAGAATCTACGCCGGAATTTCTTGCATCGGCCAGCTTCAGCTGACACAACTACAAACACTTTCCCTCTGGACGATTTTCTTCGAACCATTCTAAGAACTCTTGGATTTTTATGGCATATTGTGTATAACGCCTGACACTTCTCATGTCCTGCCGTCAGTTCGTTGTTCGAATGTGTTGTGATCATAATTTACTACGATTAGTCATATTAGAATGGTGAATTTCCCCTTTACTTTAAATACTTTCCGGTGTGGTTGATGTTTGGTCACCAATCCCTACTTGGCTTGTCAATATCATCGTCGGCAGTAGAATGAGCTACGCCAAGTTTGAAATTGTCTTGTCACTTAACATATCTCGATTCTTGGATTTATTGTGTTCCGTTTTGAAAAACTGCTTGTTTTCATATTCGTCAACATCCATTCTAACCAGATCACTTTTATGGAGATATGAATGATGCTGATCCTAGTGGCACGCCTTATCGGACCTGTTCGCGTTCGCGCAGTTACGCCGGCGCGAAGCGTCAACCGGTCAAACTGGGAACACTTGCGTACCGAGTACTGAATGGTTTTCAGCATTTTCATTAATTTCAGGCACATTTATTGAAATCTGAGCATTTGGTTACTCTCGTAATCTCTCATTTTGTGAAGTTACCCCTGAGTGCCTAAAATACGAACGACTTCTCTAAACGTATCCCATCTTTCCCAAAGCTGATATACTTAATCCAATCGCAATTCTCTTTACTGTTACAGTCTACTTCCCGTGTCACTCGTGAACGCCGCTTCCTGCCAAGGCTTGCTCCCGCCGTTATTCCTCTCGCAATTAATTCGACAACTGGGACAGTTCAGCAAAGCTGTCGCTGAACTAGCCGCACAAAATGCAGTGGATAACGCAGTTAGTGGTACGCGAATTAGTGGGGCACATTCGATGCTTGATCCACGATACTCCTCAAATCTATTAGGAGCTGATATCTCGATGCTGTCTGGCTCACAGCTGGATTCATATGCTGGTTGTTTACCGGTCGCGTTGGACCTATTTATCCTGAGCCTCGAACTTGAGCGGTGGCTTAGCCTCATCGCCGGTGTCTCCGCGACTTCAGTAAATGGTAAGTATCATGAGCCAACATCTTTCTGACGTCTTTGTTCGGTGTGTTTAGACCACCAGTACTCCATGCATGCGTCAGATCACATATAGGCTTCCATGATGTGGTGTGCGTTTGATTTATCATGCCATGGTTGCCTGTGAGACCATCACATTAATGCACGTATGTCTGAGCTTGCTGGTGATTCCCAGCAAACATGAAACGGCTTTACATTGACTCAGCTTTTCTACATAAACTGACTTTACTTGCAGCATGATTTGTGGATTTAAAATGTCGAACACGCAATTTGTTCGTGTTTTTGTCTTTTTAGGATAACTCTAAACGCAGCAGGGAGGCTATACGAAATGAACAACAGCGCAGTGTTTACCGCAGAACTTAGGATAACTAACTTGGGTTAACTTAATTACCAGACCAGAAGTCTCTAGTAATGAATAACGCAATGCACTAATGTGGAACAGATGTACTATCAACATTTTCATGACTTTTGGATCAGAGGAAATCGTAACACTAGAATATGTGATGCATGTAGCCTGAAATTTCGAGGTAGGCGAGGCTATAATAGGTGAAGTATTCTCAATGTGTTCACACCTCAGTATGAATACAATCTCAGTGTATTGGGATAAGTTTGGCTGTAGTACAGCACTTTGTCAGTCAGTAACTTTGCGGTTTCTATATTTCCTTTAAATAACTGGGCATATGCTCATGTGAAATAACGCTAACAGCAGTGTTGTCAGAATTTCTCTACCCAATATGAAAAGTCAGTCAGCCATCGACAAAACGGTTTTCAGGTTACGTCACCCTCGTTGATGAAATTTCTTGGGATGCCTTCTCCTGTTCGGAGGTATTGCTTTCGGTCAATGAAGAAATTTCCAGGGGGTGGGTAAGAGGATGTCTTTGGTTGTCACTACCGGAAAGTGTTTAATAATAATATCGAATACATCTGGAAATAGTTTGTCTTGCTATCGAAAACCTTCAGATCCGTATGATAGACCTTCGCGCCTTGTGTGCGAATCAGCATGTTATAGCAAGCTCTCTCTGAGGTCTTAACACCAAGAAGCAGCCTCTCAAGCACTTTCAGTGACACGAGGGTACACGAAATTGTTTGGGATTTCGGCGTATCTCCAGGTTGACAGACTATGTTTGAGAACTCCTTCGGCTTTCTTTCCTCCAGTAGCAGCCATATGACTGAGACAACGAGAAAGAGACCTGGAGTGCGTCGCCTCAATAGTATCCAAGGCAAATCGCTAGGCCGCTTTTGGAACGGAAAGCGTTGGTTGATCACTTGCTCTGCGCTCTTGTATGTGTCTGGATAGATGGCATCATACCCTTTTACCACGGAGTTCGTAGAGGTCTTTGAAAGTCGCCATATGTTTCTTCTTCTGGCTATGTAATCCTACCATCAGTGCTTAGGAGGAAGGTTGCGCGTTCTGATTTTGACCCCAAACCCCCCTTTCCAAATAAATGTGACACCTGTTGTGGTCGGATGCCTGGCTTTTCACCCTTTTTCCTTGCACCACTTAGGTTTTCCGAGTGCATCTGAGGTAAAAAGAGACTTTATTGTATCGTACAGATAGCTTTTCATCTTCAATAGCGGTGAAGTGCGTGGTTTCAGCGATCTGTCGAAGACGGTCGAGAGAGAGAGCCACTAGTCGAATTACGTTTAAGGATTCGGCGTTCCATTGTTTGGTCACTCACAGTTCACTCCCGTAAGGTGTTCCTGAAAGTGTGTGAACGAACATTATGTCGTTGCTTTCTATGTCTTTTGGATTTTGTGTGTGGAGTGTGTGGTCCCCATCCTAACTAGAGCTGAGCGCCCCTACCTCTTTGTCATTCAGTATGTACTGTTCTTGTTTCGGTGTGCTCTATGGCTCCACGTAAACTTTCCCCTAACTCCTACGGCTCAGTTTATTGAAATCCAGCGCTTTTGTAAAAGGTTGTCACTGCGCTGCCAGTTATTCAAGATACTAGGCGCTATCGGTTCTTGTTCTAATAAAGGTTTCACTTCGGACAACGATAGACAGAGTCGTTTTTCGCTACAGTGCATTGTTTATTCCGAGAATGTCCCAAACTATTCATTAGTGTATTTTGAGCAGCGTCATTTTGTTTATGACAGCCTCTACCAAAAATTATAATTTAGCAAATTTTTTTCTGATTTCTGCTTGTGCCGATTTTTAGAGGTGTTGACCAGTGAATCCTGGGGCTCCGTGTTTGTCTTATCGAATTTTCGATTTGTATGATTGTCTGCTCATTCTTTATTCAGTTCTGTCGCGGTTGACATATAGAGCTTGCAAATCCCATGGAAGTTTTTTACAGTTACTTCAGAATGAGCTTGCAATCCCATGGAAGTTTTTTACAGTTACTTCAGAATTCAAGTGTATTCGTGTTGCCTTTAGTCTTGTAGCGAGCATCTGGCAAAAGTTAACTTCTTGTTGCACACTACAAACTGTTTCAGAATGATTTTTTGATTTACCCACTTTTAGCTTGGATAGATCACCGTTCGTTCGTCCATGGTTCCGCTCCCTCCCCCTTTCTACCCTTCTCCCGAAGTGAGACATTTTCGCATCATCTTCATTACAGGTCGCAATATAGCTGTGGATTCTACGAGCAGCCAGCGCGTTCGTAACGCCTTCGAACGTGCTGTTCGTGCTGGACCGTTTGTAACCCCGTTGCTTTCCGAACACGGTCAACTGCACCACATCGCACTTGCTGCTACTACACCGTCCTTTTGGGCCGCACATTTACGCCTCGTGGTGTGGCGTGCTTACATGGCGTTTGGTTGGATGTCCGAGACATCTCAGGACAGACAATTTCCTGCCCCCAGTGTAACAGACCCCAGGAAACGCCGTCAAGCAATCAAGTCAGTGTTCTATCGTGCGGTAGAGGACTTGCCGTGGGCCAAGGTGAGGTTGGTAGTTACGTCTGCAATTCTCAAGCGGATAATCCGGACAGCCACTTAAATCTAGTGCAAGAATCTGATTCAGCTAATATGGATGTAACACTCTAGGTGAAGCACACTTTCGAAAATACCTACACATCTAAAGTATGACCTGTTATTGGCGCATCCTCCCTTACGAGAAAGCGACTCGTGGTATCCTGAAGCTGTTGCAAGAGTTGTTTTGGCCAGGGGTTATGAATCAACATCATTTAACCTCCTGAGTGCCTTAAGAAATGGAGGAACATTTGGAGGTTCATTATGCTCCGGTCTTTATGAAACTTCGAACAATCCTGTAATTGGTGAGGTTCAGGGAACCGAAGAAGTAGACAAGTTTCGTTAGAGATCTGTTACGAATTAATCCATTATTGTGGCGTGTATTTCAATCGGGACTTCCAAACTGGCTCTCTATGGACATATTTCGCTGATCAGATTGTATTCTACTACCTGCAGTTTTTCAAGCTTACTTTTGTAAGCATAAACTTCTGAAGACTCACTCTGAATGTGCTATCCAAAAAAGGAACGAGCATCTTATTACTCTTTACTTTGTTATCGAATTGATTCTTCGTCCGGTGGCCTCAACTCGATGAGCATATTCAGAAGTAGAAATGGAAACGGCACATTTCTTGGATTCGTCCCCCTGCAAGTACTGTTATACTCTCTCTTTTATTCTTACACGAAAACGTCAAATGGGATATTAAACCCCAAAGTCAGGAACCCTCTTTTAAGAGGGTTCATTTAAGAGATGAAAACGAAACTGAATGAAAGAATTTACGGCGGCGAATGTCTGTATTACTCGTTTTGAACAGAGGAAGTTCGAACGAAGTAAAGGAGATAATAAGCTAAAGCATGTTATGTAATTTAGCTATCCCCGAAAAGTAGTTGAGGGGAATTGGGTGGTAAAGTATCAGACAATGGAGGTAGTGCTGACGGACTCCTAAGAACATCGACTATGATAGGACGGGTACAAACAAGCCTCATCCCGTAGTTTTACAAGATATGGCAGTCGACGTAGCATGGTCATTGAGGTGGTCTGTTTCTTACTTGACCCGTTTGATTAGCTACTTTCATTTGCAAACGAATTAGGTTTTGAGTTGAGAATCAACTGAATCCAGCTGAATGACTGTTCTATTTCTGACTAGCTCTGTTTCGTTATCTTTATTTACAGAACACCCTAGGGTGCTCAGTAACTGACGTGGAAGTTCAGTTCGCTTCTAATCCCACCTCCACCCCCACCAATCATATTGAGACATTTAGATTAAATGTTCCTCAGGTTGTCCCCGCGTGGGTAGTGACATGAGGGCATTTTGACCGGTTTGGTCTCGTGTGAATGTGCGGGGTTTGATACTGACCAGAGAGAGAGCGCTGAGATCCTTCTAGTGACGGTTATCACGCTGTGGTCATTATAATATGCGATCCTGTTTTCATTTATTCTAGGTTCTTTACACTGATTTGGTGCGTTATTGCCCGGAGGATGTGGAGGAAATTGTGGATCTTCTGTCCGAACGAGAGTTGCGTTTGCGGACGCCTTTGGAAGAGATTGACCTGCTCCTGACCGCTCGACCTCAAGCGACTGAATAGTGATGTACATGTCTCCGCGCTTTGTATGTGTCCTTGCACAGTAATTTCCTCTATCCTTGTTATTTGTTTTCTATTGCAACTGTTTACGACAAATAAAAAAATCTTCAGATGCAGTTGCGCATTCTGGCTGAACTCGGTTAGGACTAACTATGTACGGTTTGTGGTTGGTTGCTTACTTACTGTCATGATGAGAATACCGACGGAATAGAAGAAAATAGCCAATCCGCAGTTGGTTCTTCTCTCCGGTGAATCGCTACGCGTTACAATATGGCCCGTGTGTTTGATTCTGAAGCCTTGAAACGGTCTTTACGGACGATCTCGTCAGATCTCGAAAAGAACCACTGTGGTGAAAAGTGGACTTGTTTCGGACTACCACGAATCGTCTCATTCTTCCGAATGAGGTACGATTCACGAAATGTCGGGACATCACTAGTGGGGCCACAGTACTGTACGACTTCCCGAAGGAAAGCAATTTACCATTCTTCATCCCAGCGCTTCAAGTTTATTACCAGGACAACCAGAGAATCTGCCAATAGACGATCGCGCGGTCAACTTTTACCTCGCCTCTCGGCGATTCCAGTCAATAGGATTACTTTTACGCAGTATGTACCCCTTGTGTTGATTCTACTACCCCAAAGCCGTGGAGGTGAAAATACATCCGTAATTGCAATGTAACCTCCCCACAATATCACTTATGTAACAGAACTCAAGCGACTTGTATGCTGATCAGTCTTTCGTGAAGTTCGGTCTTGTTTTCACCGCGCATATGCAGTAGACAGTATACAAAAGCCCTTGGTCCTACGATATACGCAAACTTTGTAAGATCTTTTTCGAAACAGATTCTATTAGTGTTACACTAAGACCGAGCTGTTTGGTGGATGGCCTTGCAGTATAACAAAACACATAGGTGTAGCCTTGCAAGTCCATATTTTTCACAAACACTATGCTTCCTTGATTGCGCTTTTTGCAGAAGACCCGAAATTCTTCCAAATAAATTCCGCTGAAGGATATTTTCGCATACTTGACGCCTCTGCAAATTCAAGGCGGTAGATCACTTTATTAAGACTAGACGTTTCACACCATAGTTGTTTCATGTAGGGTTGTATTGCAGCTGTGATTCGCAAGTGGTTATGGACTGTGTATCCTTTACGAAGATCCATTCCTCTCTCAAATTTCTTCCATGAAACATATCAAACATAACTCAGCATCACATTGCAGTTGTCCACCTGTGAGAAGGTTACTGGTAGCGAATCTCAGGAATGATACCTCTCCAGAAGAGATCACTTCACGAATTTACCATTCTTGATCGATCGGTACCTACATAGAAGAGAAACCGTGAAGTTTCATAGGTTGTAGAAATGTGATATAAGTTGAGTGGTGGTAATAATCGTTCAACTGCAGTACTCGGTGCCATGCCAACCGAAGGAAGCACGGGGCTGAGATACTGCCAGATTGCCCAATTCTACACAGGTGCATTTGAGATGTAGAGGTTGGGTTTGAACTAAGGACCTCCCGTTCAGTAAATTCTTGCTTTAACCATTAAAAAATAAAACCCAGTAAGAACAAGCTTGTGCCCTTGAGTACTCACCGGGAACGCGGCGAAGAGCCTGAAAAAGGCATGACGCACGTTTTTAGCCTTCAGTTCTTCGCCTCTGTCCATGACCAATGAATCGCACTGACATGTCTGCACAAACAATGCAAATAGCTAGCCGTATCTATTTCGAGTTGTGTGCGGAGTTAAATTCCTGGTTTTATCATTCAAGACCGTCGGTCTATGTAATACCAAACAATTCACTTTGTCCGTTCTTCGAGCGTTTTGTTGATGTCTGTCCCGAGAACAGACAGCAACTGGTTTATTTACCCTTAACCTGTTTAACATTACAAAATACGAACGAATATCGGACAAATTCATTGATATTTTCAAGTAAATAAGTAGGTACGTTTGTCTGTTAGGGAGCTAAACGGGTGATATCCACACTACACTGCATATTTACTATGTTCCATATCACATCTGTGTGATATAGTAGTATCTACAAATTAGTGATTTGCAAATCCACGGATAAATAATAAATTTTTCATTTTTTCGTCATCTTGAAAATGGGGGAACTGTGGTGATTTGCAAATCAATGTTACATTTTCCCCAT